TTTTAAAAAGATAAACAAAATTGAGCAATCTATGAAAAATTATATGCCAAAAACTTGGTTAACCTAAAGGAAATGCATATATTCTTACAAACGTACAACCTGCCAAGACCGAATCATGACGGAATAGAAAATCTAAAGAGACGAATATTCAGTAAGGAGATTAAATAAGTATTACAAAACCTCCCAGCAAAGAAAAGTTCAAGACCCAATGGCTTTACTGGTAAATTCTACCAAACATTTGAATATGAATTAGTGCCAACATTTCTCAAATTGCTCCAAACATTGGGGAAGGGGGAACATTTCCAAACTTATTTTACAAGCCCAGCATCATCTTGATACCAAGGGCAAAGAAGGGTACTGTAAGAAAAAAAAATTACAGGCCAATATACTGGATAAACTGGTGTAAAACTCCTCCAGAAAATGCTAACAGGCTTAATTTAATAGCACATATACCATGATCAAGTGGGATGTATCCCTGGGATAATCTCATAAGCATTTATCACATTTGTCAGTAAATGTGATAAAACCATATTAATGAAATGAAGGGAAAAATTATATGATCATCTCAATAGGGGCAGAGAAAATAATGTTGGATTTAAAAATAAAATCTAACATCATTTCATGATAAAACGCTTAAAAATTAGATATAGAAGGGATGTACCTCAACATAATAAAGGCCATCTATGACAAGCCCACAGACAATGTCATGAGTAATGACGAAAAGCTAAAAGCTTTTCTCTAAGATCAGAAACAAGGTAAGGATGCCCACTTTCACCACATCTATCCAATGTAGCGCTGGAATTCCTAGACAGAGCAATAAGGCAAGAGATGGAAATAAAGGGCACTTTAAAAAGAAAATAAAAAGTAGAGCTGTCTCTGTTTGCAGATGACATGTGTTAAAGCACAGTAAGCAGGAACCCATTTGCCTGGAATTGTTTCTGTACCTGGGACCGTTAAGCAAGCAAACCTAAATCTAACTTGGAGGCATTCCTTGTAACTGATTAATTTTGAATCAAGTTTCAGTCAATCATAAATGGCAAGTAGCTGATTGGTTATATAACTTGGAGCCTCCAATTAAACCATATCCAAATAAGGTAAATACCTAGCTGTGGCCAATCAAGTAGTTTCTTTGTTCTCATGTTCAGCCTGTTAAAGTTCACTGCTCACACTGCTAGACCGAGGCCCACAACCTCCTGTCAATTTTGGTGCTTCCCACTTCATGAACTGTTCTTTGCTAAATAAATATTGTTAAACTTTTATTATGTCTCAAGTTTTTCTTTTTATATCTTTTTTTTTTTTTTGAGACAGAGTCTCACTCTGTTGCCAGGCTGGTACAATCTCAGCTCATTGCAACCTCTATCTCCCAGGTTCAAGCAATTCTCCCGCTACAGCCTCCTGAGTAGCTGGGAATACAGACGTGCATCAGCATGGCCAGCTAATTTTTGTATTTTTAGTACAGATGAGGGAGGTTTCACCAGGTTGGCTAGGCTGGTCTCTAACTCCTGACCTCAAGTGATCCACTTGCCTCAGCCTCAAAAATGTAGTGGAATTACAAGCATGAGGAGCTACCACACCTGGCCTCAAGTTTTTCTTTTCTTTTTTTTTTTTTTTTTTTTTTTTTTGAGACGGAGTTTCCCTCCTGCTCCTATTACCCAGGCTGGAGTGCAATGGCGCGATCTCGGCTCACCACAACCTCCGCCTCCTGGGTTCAGGCAATTCTCCTGCCTCAACCTCCTCAATAGCTGGGATTACAGGCACGTGCCACCATGCCCAGCTAATGTTTTGTATTTTTAGTAGAGACGGGGTTTCACCATGTTGACCAGGATGCTCTCAATCTCTTGACCGTGATCCACCCGCCTTGGCCTCCCAAAGTGCTGGGATTACAGGTCAAGTTTTTCTTTTAACACATACTTTTACATATAGAAGACCCTGAAGACTGTATGAAACTATTAGAACTAATAAATGAATTCAGTAAAGTTAGGTGAAATTTCTGTACACTGAAAATCAAAACACCAATGAAAGAAATTGAAGAGGACATAAACAAATGGAAAGCTATCCTGTGGTTATGAATTAAAAGGATTAATATTGTTAAAATGGCCATATGACCCAGAGTAACCTACAGATTCAATGCAATCCCGATCAAAATTTCAATGGCATTTTTCATGAAATGGAAAATGAGATTGGGCACTTATCTCTCATCACATGTAAAATCAAGTCACAATGGATTGAAGACTGTAAGGTAACACCTGAAATTGTACAATTACTAGACAAAAACATAGGGGAAAATCTTCTTGTCATTGATGTAGGCCATGAATTTTTGGATATGACCCCAAAATCACAGGCAGCAAAAGCAAAAATAAACAAATGGGATTGCACAAAACTGAAAAGCTCTATACATTAAAGAAAACAGTAAACAGGCTGAAGAGACACCTGTGGAACAGGAGAAAATATTTGCAAGCTATTCATATAATCAGGGGTTAATATCCAAAATAAGATAAAGAACTCAAACAATAGCAAGAAAACAAATAACCTCGTGTTTTAAATGAATTAAAGAACATAACAGATATTTCTCAAAAGAAGACAAATGGCCAACAGACATATTTTTTTAAATGCTCAATATCACTAGTCAAGGCAATGCAAATTAAAACCACAATGATCTGCGGGTAGCAGCAGCAGCCATGGGAGTGAGTGAGACTGCGTGGAAAACACACGAGAGGAAGTGAGCTTTCCTGACAGAAGGTTCGGAAACACCAGCAGAAGCAGAAGAGGTGCATTTGCTAAGAAGGAGCAACTCAGAGGTTGGAGAAGAGCAAATTGAGAGTTAATGTTTTAGAAACCAAAGGAGGAGAACGTTTCCAGAGGAGGGAATGATCAATATTGACAAATTCACCAGGAAGGTGAAGTAAGATAAAAAATGACAAGTAATTATGGACATGGCAATTAAAATGTTGATTAACCTAGAACGAGTAGTTTTAGTTTCTATCCAAACCATAATATAGAAATCAATTTATTTTCAGGCATTATTGACAGATTTTCACTGTAATAAAGAGTTATGAGTTTTATCACGTGAGTCATTTTATGTTGGATATAAATAACTGATTATAGTGATTCATGGTTTGAAAAACCCAGCCCTCAACTACTTGAGATCCTGGTAAATGAAGTGTTAGTATGCAGCCGTTTAACCACATAATGTGATAGACATTGCCTGTTTCCTCTCAATATTGACTGTCCCCAAAGTACTCCAATTGTTCAGTTACTTTGCCACCCAACCAAAAGGCAACATTTCCTATCCCCCACTGCAGTCGGGAGAAGTTAAATGACGAAATTCTGGCCACTGATATGTGGAGTGGATACTGCTAACTATATGACTATGTATATTCTTGCTAATATACGATTATATTGACAGATCAGCCTCCTAAAAATTTTGCTCTGTTCCTACTCCTTCCTTTCCTTTTTATTGACAGAAAGCAGCGACTGGCAACAGCGGCCACACCCTCATCATGTTGCCAGCACCACCCGACTAGCGTGGGTCTTTGGATTGCTTCATGGAGCAGAGTCCTAGCTAGGTGGCACTGTATTCTCAGTTCTTTTTACTAACCATATTAACCAGCTTCCTAAATATTACATCTAAGTAACCATGTTGTGTGGCATTTCCAGGAAACTCCCTCAAAAGGGAGAGGACACCTTTTTTTAATCTTCACTCCCTTTCCTCCTTTCTGGAATATGGTTTTTGTAAGCAGAACTCCAAGGATCCAGGTAGAACGCGCCAGGAAGTGACCCTGGGAACTGAAGCCATGTTTAGCGGAACAAGACAGAAGGAGCTTCAGCCTTTCACTCCACGGAACCAGCATACCCGCCTTAACCAACTTACCTCTGGAATCATTTTCCCTTTTTAACCCACTGCTCTCCATGCTTTGTTGCCTTTGGCCTAACCTAGTCATTACTGGCATGTAAGTGATATGAAACGAATGGACAGTTGGCAAAAGGACATAGCATTGCTTCCCATGGGCAAGACACACAACAAAACTAACATTATTACATCCTTTTAAGAGAAAAATGAGACATGAGAACAAACATTTGTTAAGATTTTATATTTATCACTTAAACAGAGACTGTAACCTTCACAGTAATCCTACCAGGGAGGCAACATGATCACTATTTTAAAGAAACTGAGACCTAGCAAGGAAGAGCAAGTTTGAACAACAGAATTTGAACTCACAGTTCTCATTAACAAAATCCATGCTGCATCCTATGCCTTACCTTTTTCCACAGTGCAAAAAGAGGAACAGAAGGCAAATTAACTAGAACAAAAATTGCTTTCACATAGATACAAATAACTCTGCTTCAATCAAAATAAAAGATTTCTTGACTCACTCTAGATTCACAGGGCCTTGTTTTTCTTTTACTACCTCAAGTTACCACACTTTTAAGAAATAAATTATTTTGTAAGGTTATAAAAGAGAACTGAATTGTATAGTTCCCAGAAGAGTTTCTTAGAGCAGTTTGTCCCCCTGAATCAAAGTGAACAACAGACACTGTTATGGGTAACATACTGCTGCTTATTTTCATCCTGGAACAAAAGTGTTTTTTTCAAATGTTGAAGGTTGGAACTAAAACACAACCATCTGGGCCGCCAAAATAGACCCTGCTGCCACTGTTTCTGTTATTTCAGATTCTACTTGGAATTTCTCATATTTCAATATTCTTGGAAGATCCTAACTACTTTTATTACTTAGAAAGGAAAACACTAGGGAGTGTTCTCTATAAGTTTCATAGCTTGTCTGAATATTAAAACAGGGCAATACATTTATTTGGTAATAAACTGCATCCTAATATTTTCAATAAAGTCATGTAAATTAGCACATGACTGTTTACTTGTGTAATAAAAAGTCATGGCTACAGATGCTGTAATGGTGAGAGTTCAGAGCGTTCCTGAGGACCTGGAGAAGATTTGCTGATAAGAATGACATTTTGAAGGTTTTTTGTTGTTGTTGTTTTTTGGCTGAAAAAGGTGTCTCTGGAATCACACTCCTAGATCTTTCTTGAAGACTTGAAAAGAATTAGATTAGGGCCATGGGGACACAGAAGGTCGCCCCCGTTCTGATCGTTGCCATTACAGTTGCTACAATCGGCTCGTTCCAATTTGGCTACAACACTGGGGTCATTAATACTCCTGAGATGATCATAAAGGAATTTGTCAATAACACTTTGAAGAACAAGAAAAATGCCTCTCCCTCTGAGATGTTGCTCGCGACCCTCTGGTCCTTGTCTGTGGCCACATTCTCCGTTGGTGGTATGATCGGCTCCTTTTCCATCAAACACTTTGTCAACCACTTTGGCGGGTGCAATTCAATGCTGATCGTCAGCCTGCTGGCTGTCACTGGTGGCTGCCTTATGGGCCTGTGTGAAGCAGCTGAGTCAGCTGAAATGCTGATACTGGGCTGCCTGGTTATTGGAGTCTTCTGTGGACTGTGCACAGGCTTTGTGCCCATGTACATTGGAGAGATCTCGCCTATTGCCCTGCGGGGTGCCTTTGGCCCTCTCAACCAGCTGGGCATTGTTGTCGGAATTCTGGTGGCCCAGGTCTTTGGTCCAGCCTTCGTCACTGGGTCTGAAGCTCTATGGCTGCTGTTACTGAGCTTTACCATCCTTCCTGCCATCCTACAAAGTATAGCCCTACCATTTTGCCCTGAAAGTCCCAGATTTTTGCTCATTGACAGAAGAGGAGAATGCTAAGCAGATCCTCCAATGGTTGTGGGGCACCCAGGATGTATCCCAACATCCAGGAGATGAAAGATGAGAGTGCAAGGATGTCACAAGAAACGCAGGTCACCGTGCTGGAGCTCTGTAGAGTATCCAGCTGCCGACAGCCCATCACCATCTCCAGCATGCTCCAGCTCTCTCAGCAGCTCTCTGGGACCAATGCTGCGTTCTGTTACTCCACAGGAATCTTCAAGGATGCAGGGGTTCAAGAACCCATCTTTTTGTTCCATACTCATGACTGTTTCTTTGTTATTAAAGGACGACTATAATGGGATGAGCCTTGTCTGTACTGGGGCTATCTTGCTCTTTGTGGCCTTCTTTGAAATTGGACCAGGCCCCATGTGGCCGAACTCACCAGCCATGGCCCCTGCCCAGCTGCAATGGCAGTGGCCGGCTGCTCCAACTGGACCTCCAACTTCCTAGTCGGATTGCTCTTCCCCTCTGCTCTTACAATTTGGGAGCCTACGTTTTTATTATCTTCACCTGCTTCCTCATTACCTTCTTGACCTTTACCTTCTTCAAAGTCCCTGAGACCCGTGGCAGGACTTTTGAGGATCTCACATGGGCCTTTGAAGGGCAGGCATATGGTGCAGCTTGATCCGGGAAGGAAGGCGTCGTGGAGAGGAACAGCATCCAGCCTGCTAAGGAGACCACCACGAATGTCTAAGTCACGGCTCCTTCCACCTCCCTCCCGGCATGGGAAAGCCACCTCTCCCTGAACGACGGAGAGACCTCATCAGGATGCACCCAGGACTGCTTCTGAATGAGGCTACTTGATTCCTTTCTTATCCCATGCACTCCATAAGCACCCCAAGGCTGGGATTTGTTGGATTTTTCAATGGCTTTTAAAATATTTTATTTCCTGGACATTCTCTTCTGCTTAAGAGAGACCAGGAGAACCTACCTTCATTTCAGGAGGGATTGGCTGCTTGGTGTATGACAACTTTGCCAGCTTTTCCTCCCTGGGGTTCTAATATTGCCCCACCAGGGGATATAGGAAAGGAAGAGTAAGGTGCAGTTCCCCCAGCCTCAGACTTATCAGGAAGCAGATACGTATCCGAGTGTGGAAGGCAGAGGGGGTTTATGTAGGAGCACCTGTCTCACTTCCATTCAGCTCTACACAGCAAACTAACTTCAGGGATTTTTTGTTTTATCCTCTGGTTTAATTATATAATTTAGTTTTTTTAGTTGAAGTTTCGGGATACATGTGCAGAATGTGCAGGTTTGTTACACAGGTATATATGTGCCATGGCGGAAATATTTTTTTAAGTGTAATTTTTCCGAATAGTAAAAAGAGAAGGAAATTGAGATTAGACGGAGGCGTTTAAAGAGAGGTTATAGAGTAGATGACTTGATGCTGGAAAGGTTAAGGTGCAATAAGAAGAAGTTAGGGAGAAATGCAGTTCATTATTGGAGGGCAAATGTGGTGCCTGAGGTCTGCACATGACCTCTTAACAATTTCTGTCCTTCAGATGGAAATTCTTAAGTTTAATTTCACATAAAAGTCATATGCGTGTGTAATAAAGCTACTGATTTCTTTTGGAAAAAAAAGAAGTCATAGCTTTAAATGAGGACTTGGACTTTAAAGACATCTAACAAACTATACCTTTTTCATTGTCATTTAAATCCTTCCTCCCTCATTGTTTTATTCATCCAACAAATGTTTATTGAGCACCTACAATGAGAAGCAGCACCGTGTAATAGTCAAGAGTGCAGACTACGTTTCAAATCCTGCCTCCTCTTTCAGTTGGCTGTCTGACCTTGGTCAAGTCACTCAGTCTTGTTGACCCTCCATTTTCTCATTTGTAAATCAAGATAATGCAGTATTATATCTCCAAGGGCTATTGTGAGCACAAAATGACTTAATGTGAGGATTAAATGTATACACAGTAAGTACATAATAAATGTTTATAAAAAATATATACTGGCATACATGTATACATACAATATACCAAGCTTTAAAGAGCTGGGATATAGCAATGATCTAAACACACATATTTTGTTCCCATGTAATATATATTCCAGGCAGACAATAAACAAATAATTAGGTAATATGTCATATGTGATCCATGTTCTAAGGAAGAAGAAAGCAGGTAAAAGTAGACAGAGACTGATGGTGGGGGCACTATTTTTTACAGAATGGTTCAGAAGGGATGCTGTAAGATAGAAAACTGTGAGGAAGCCAGCCATGCTGATGAAGGATTGGGCTTCCAGGTAATGAAAACAAATACAGAGCTCCCAAGGCAGGATTGTCCTTGAAGCATATGAAGAAGGACAATGAAGCCAATGTGTCTGGAGAGAAGTAAGCAAAATGAAGACTGGGAGGAGAGAAAGAGACAGGAATAGCAGGGTCTTAGGTTACAAAAGGCTCTGTAGCCTAGTGGTAACGGTATTGGCTTTTACCCAAATTTGACTGAAAGATACAGCAGGGTTTACAGCCATAGCACCCTGAACACGGCCAGTCTCATCTGAAAGATCTTGCAGGACTTTGAGCAGAGGAAGGATATTATTGGATACAGATTTGTAAAGGTTCCTTCTGGCTGCTCTGTGGGAAATCAATCATAACAGAGGGGCAAAAGTTGCTGAAAGGAAACCAAAGTGGTATATATTGCAATATCCAGATGGACGGACCCTAGAGAAATATTTGCGTATAAGCACAAAAAGGCATGAATTTAGCTGTTCATTCTAGTATTCTAACAAAAAAACAATTTAGAAACAACTCAGATACCTGTCTATGAGGAAGTAGCTAAATAAATTGTGATATACTAAATATCACATAGTATCTATTAATAGCATATTAATAAATCAAATAGCATGCCTTCAATAAGAGTAGGCAGTGGAGGTGATAAAAAGTTGGCCTTCTTCTGGATATATTTCCAAAATGTAGCCCACAGAATTTGTCGTCAGAGTGGTTGTGAGAAGTAAGAGAAATAAAGGCGTGAAGAGGACTCCAGGGTTTCCTGTCCTGAGCCAGCCAGGGTGGATTGTTCTACCGAGTTTTTGAACACTAGGGAAGAAGCAGAGGATTCCTGGGGGAGTAGGAGGGATGTGGTTCAAGGATTCAGCTTTGGGCATCATAATTTGACATCAGAGAGTATAGATGTAGGAGACTGAAGTTCAGAAGGGCAATCTGGGCAAGAGGTGCACGTTTGAGACTCGTGGTGTGTTCATGGTATTGAAGGCCATGTGTTTGCATAAGATGAGCCAGTGCGGTGGTTCCAGACCCAGCTGTGCACTACAATCACAAGAGTAGGACCTAGATATCGTATATTTGTAAATCCTTTGGGTTGAGAACCAGTGACTTAAAGAAACAGTATAAAAAGAAAAGAAACGGAAAAAATTTGAAGAGAATGAAGTAATCCCAACACTTTGGAAGCCTGAAGCGGGTGGAAAACTTGAGATCAGGACTGGCCAACATGATGAAACCCTGTCTCTACCAAAAAATACAAAGATTAGTCAGGCATGGTGGCACACACCTGTAATCCCAGCTACCAGAAAGGCAGAAGCAGGAGATTCACCTGAACCCAGGAGGTGGAGGCTGCAGTGAGCCAAGATCCCGCCACTGCACTCCAGCCTGGGCGACAGAGTGAGACTTCATCTCACACACAAAGAAGAAAATACTTACTATGGGTCAACAAGTTTGAACAGTAATTGAACAGTAAGTTGCCAATACTGAAGTTGAAGATTCACATACTTTTGGCTCAAGGATTTACTTTTAGGTTTATAACCTTAAAGAAATGCTTGCATACATGCACAAAAAGATACGAATTTGTCTGTTCACTGTGGTACTGTAATGGGAAAATTTAGATACAATTCAAATATCTGTCTATAAGGATGTAGCTAAATAAACTGTGGTAACTTAAATACTACACATCGTATGTTAATAGCATATAAATGCAATAAAATACCATATAGCAATTTAAAATGAATGAATTTGATCTAATGTATCAATATAGATTATATACTGAAATAATAGAATGAAGAAATCTAGCTAAAAAGAAAACATATAGATATATTAAAATATATTATATAGTTTGAATGTAAAATATATAGATTTTTATATATTTAATATATATTAAATTATATTTATATAATTTACATAATTATATTTATTATATACATTCAATATTTAATATATTTTATATATTTATATATATTTTATATTTTAAAAATAAAATACATTTCTACATAGGGATATAGCCACTCAGAATTTTTTCATTTGCTTTAGTTGGGTTTTTTAATTTAGTTTTTTAGCCAGGTTTACTGAGATATAATTTACAAACAGTAAAATTCACATCTTTAATTATACAGTACAATGAGGTTTAGGAAATGTGTACAGTCCCGTAACTATCACCAAAAACAAATGGGATGATCTGATCATTTCAAAAGTTTCCCTTGGGCTTCTGTGTAGGGAGTCCCCTTACCCAACCCCAGCCCCTGAAAGCCACTGATCTGATTATTCCTCTGCTGTTTTTATTCCAGCATGTTATATAAATGGAGTTACATAATATGTAAGATTTTGTGTTTGCGTCTTTTTTAAATTTTTATTTTGGCAGCCTTTTAGGTACAGGTGGTGGATGAATCATATAGTGGTGAATTCTGAGATTTTAGTGCACCTGTCACCTGAGCAGTGTACATTGTACCCAATGTGTAGCTTTTTTGTTCTTACCCTCACCACTCTCCCCGCTCTGAAACCCCAAAGCTGATTATATCACTCTATACCTTTGCTTACTCACAGCTTGGCTCCCACTTACAAGTGAGAACATACCGTGTTTGGTTTTCCTACTCCTGTGTTACTTCACTTAGATAATGGCTTTGTGCTCCATCCAAGTTGCTGCAAAAGACATTATTTTGTTCCTTTTTATGGCTTGTGTTTACTTCTTTTACTTAGTAAATGTCTTTGAGATTTATCTGTATTGTCTCAATTTTTATTTCTTTTTATTACTATTATCCATTAAATGCTTGTGGCACAATTTGTTTATCTGTTCACCAGTTAATGGACATTTGTGTTCTTTCAAATTTGGGGCCCTTACGAATAAAGCTGCTGCAAACATTCAGGTCCTGGTTTCTCTGTGGACATATGTTTTCATTTCTCTTGGGTAAATATCTATTAACTTTACACCAAATATATATATATTACAAAGCATCTGTCAAAGGATCTTCCCAAATCCTTTGGGAAGGAAGGAGTCTGACTTCTGACTTGGCAGACACAGGGCCCAAAGGAATCTTTTAATATGTTATTAAAATAGATTTTAAATACCAAATGGACATTGTCTTTGGGCTAAATACATAATATCCATGACATATACCTACTACTATTTTCAAACATAACTATTATGCTGAACTGAAAGATTCAAGTTTATTTCAAAGCATTAATCAATTCAGAGCATCTTTGACATTATGTGTTTTCTGAATCACTGGCTATGAAAAGTATAACCACAATCATACTTGAATCTATGAATCTTGTTTTATTAATATTTAAAAGATAGGGAATAATGCCTAGAGCAGAAATGGGTTGCTTCAGAATCACCCAAGGTACTGGTTCTCAGCCTCCACCCCTGACCTACTGAATCAGAATCTCATATAAAGCAATTATAATAATAGCTACCTTCTGTTGAGCACTCACTACTTTTAGCAAGGCGCTAATTGCTTTACCTAATGCCCTTCATTCCATCCCCACAACAATCTAGTGAGTCAGGGGCGATTATTACTCCTGTGATTCAGGTGAGAACATTGATCCTCTTGACTCAACGTTAAGTAATTTATCCATGTTTGCACAGTTTGTAAAAATCCTTATTTTTATTCATCTATCTCTGCCTTTACAAAAAAATCAGTAAAACCTTTACAGTTATACAAGATTGTGAGTAGAGCTTAGGAAATTACTTTTTAATCCTTAGATAAGGGATCCAACAATTATGAGTAAAAATTATCAGCTATAAAATGGAATTGGAAACAAAGAGCAATGTCTTCTTCCAATCTTTGTTTGCAAAATAAACTCGAAAGTGAGATTAGGAGGATGCTGCTGGCATTGGGTCCACGGGCAAAAAGAAGCTATACAGCTGTGTCCAGTGCAAGAGGTAGCCAATCAATGGGGAATATGTTTCAACCTGACAGCACTGCAGCGGTTATTTCTGTGTTCTAACTATGGAGATTCCAAGAAAAGACAGTGAGAAAGATGGAAGAAGAAGCTGATTAGGGAAGGGGAGCAAGACAAATGAGCTCCCAGGTGCCATCTGCCCAGGTTCCAGTCCAAAAGCTCCTTGGGCATTGATGGAAGTGTTTGCCGC